CGTACATACAAACAAGCAGAATAATAGTATAGATGTTATGCGTGTGTTAAGTAAGATGCATATGTTTCATATTAGGTAATACGCTACAAAACCTAGTCTCATGACACGTTTCATGATGCAACCATATATCTATACAGGTTTTTGTGCTTTCAATATGTTGCTAGAAATAATAGTCCGTATGCAAGATCAGTTTTTAACGTATAAAATGTGTATTGTACAGATGGGACCTTCAGGTTGAGAAAAATTTAGATGTGGATACAGCAGGTTGTGAAGAGGGGAAAGATAACCTGCCGCTAAACGTCGTTAACAACTACTTTTCTTTGGGTGTCGATGCTCACATTGCTCTGGAGTTTCACGAGGCCAGAGGTGAGAGATTATGGACTTTTTTGAACCTTTAACAACAACCGCTTTTCAAATCTAGCTACATGTTAAAATAAAAAACGTGAACAGTATTTAATGTAACAATAGATTTTAATTAATAAGTTCGGAAGTTTTTAACGTAAAAAGAAATGCTTTGTCATATATATTGGTCAAAATATAATACATACCAACTAATAAAAACAACAACATCACTCTCTTGTTGATATCAATAAAATATTGTGTTTACACGAACAAATAGAAACAACAACAGCATCACATTCTTGTTGACATCAACATAATCTTGAATTCACACGAACAAATAATATCAACAACATTAAAACTTTCTTGTTGATATTAATATAGTCTTGTGTTCACACGAACGGTTAAAAACAACACAACACTTTGTTGGTATCGAGGTAATTTCGTGTTCGCATTGTTCTTAATTGTGCTTTATTTCAAAAAACTAGTTTTAATCATTAACACAAAAGTTAAATGAATATAGATGAGTATGTCAAAATATGTTATTTTTTTGTATATTTTAAACTGAAATTTAAAAGCTTATTTGTAGTTAAAAAAAGGATGCTAATTTTATGACAGAATATGCATTAAAGAAATGAAGTTATATGTTTATATATGTTATTAATAATGTTACAGTGTGGACTACTTTTTTGCATCATGGAAGGTACACATTTTTACTAATAATTATTTTATATTTGTAAAAACAATTTTTTACAGAGGCTCGTCCAGATAAGTTCAACAGCAGACTTAAAAACAAGATGTTTTACGGACAGGCAGGAGGAAAAGATTTACTACAAAGAAAGTGGAAAGACCTCTGCAACTTTGTGACTCTTGAGGTACGTTTCGTGTGTTTCCAAGCTGTTTTTTGTTACTGCTTACACTATTTCGCACTTCCAGTTAAACAGTTTTTAAAATACAGGGTTGGCAAAAAATATGTTTAGCTGTAACCGTAAGGTGGGAGAGACATATACAACCTCCAGGTTTTCCAGTTGGCACAAGTGTTTAAAACACTTGCGGGACACATTTATGGAAACAAACGGTGCATCAAGGTGACCTTGACCTTAAAACCTTATTTACTTATGACGTGATGTCATTAGGAATAACGACTGAAAGTGTGAGTTTGATGTCATATATCATTAATTCTCTCATCGATGAGTTAGATTGCTATAACTCCTAATGTTAACCATTGAGCAAAAATATTATATTAAGCATTACGTGATGCTATCTATCACGTCCTACTTTATCTGGGGTCTGTTGTTAAAATAGTATGACAACATATTACACATTTGATGTGACTTGCACTGCTACAACGACATTTATGATGAGATGAAATCTACTGCGTTTCCTGGTTACCTTCCAGCGTCAGCTGTGATCCTTTTTTTTTTTCATAAATGTGTTCCGCATATGTTTTTATACAGTTGTACTAAATTTTTCAGCTCGTAAGTTCTGTGTGTTTTAATGATTCTCGCACTGTTTATAGCTTATTACAAAATTTGCTTTTGCCAGCCCTGCATAACTTCTTCTGTAATATGTCACTTAACAAATTACTTACACAGTAAAAATTATGAGGTTTATTGTCAGTACTATTAACGATAAAAGTTAAGCCTACTTGAAGTTAAATGTCTATGTATATTACTACGATCCATTTTTATCACATTTCTTAACCCATCACTAAATGGCCGTACAAAGTTCGGTTCTTTTCTCTTTTGCTTAAGGATTGTTATAAATCCGAATTGAAAATAAAATTCTTATAGATATTTTTAATTCGATAAGACTAAACTTTATCTTTCGCTGTGATGCTGTGAAACCAGCAAAGGCATTGTGTTTACACCAGGTGGCGTGGCAGAAATGCACTACAAATTATGGTAGAAATAACATATCAAGAAAATGAAAAAAAAATGTTCATACAATTATAATCTAATGCTTTCAAAAAATATAAAAAGTTAGGTTGTCGTGCAGGAAAGCTTTTTGGTAATAAGCAATAGCTAAATATTTCATACTGTAACTTACGTCAAGGTATCTAGAGTACATTTGAGGTAATACTAAGTTGTAAAGCACTTTAATAAAGGCAAAAAAAACATGCCAATAAGGTAGAAATATATAGGAGAATATACTGTTTATACTATACCCATTTGAATCCACCAACTTAAAACAAATATTAAAAATTCAGAATTGTCGGTCTACTAAAGAAAACTGGCTTCGATGGCGATCTTGTTAAAAGACAAAATCGATATCAGGCTTTCCATAACACTTAAATACTCTTATTTCATATACTTGTTACTGTTGGTCTAAAAAAGGAGGGTAAGATCTCGTGTAACTTGAATTGTTTCGGCTATTCGTCCAAAGCTACACTACAACCAATTTTGAACTGACTAACAAAAGGAAGGGCATTTAATGAATAACATCGCCATCAACTGTTGGACTACCCTAACCGAGTAGTGGGATTTGACTGTAACTCTTATAGAACACCACGGCTCCAAAGTACGGCACGCTAATCACTAGACCTTACCAGCCCAATCTCATATAGGTTGACAGTGTAATTATCATATGCTCGGGTAATAAGAATTGCTGGCGTATATGACTAAATAACTTTCAAATAACACTAATTATTAGTGAAAACTAACCCAAGGTTTTGAATGTAGATTGGGAAAGAGAAAAATACCAGATGCAAAATATTTTCGTTTGCAAATATGAAACAATTGGTTTAAATATAATAATAAATATTTACTTCGCGTTCTCTCTCTCTCTCCTTCTTCTTTTAATTGCAAGAGTGGAATAAAAACTGAATATATCTCTAGTACATAGCCAATTTTTGGCAATGGAATATTACCATGATACTTTGTACGAACATTTCTTGCATGATAGCTTTTATTAATGCCGATAAAATGGGGTCATATATAAAAATGTGAAAATAAATTTTGTTTATCTTCTTGATATTTAGCATGCAAGTATTTCATACACTACATACTTTGGTGCTCGATAACCCCATTTATCTATGAATCCATTAGAAGTTATTAGGTTTTAAATAATTAAAAATTCATAACTACCAGTAGAATACATTAGACTATAAATAGATTCTAAGTTATCTTAACGAGCCATTAAAACAATCAATTAAAAATCACATTTTTGGCATATTACTGTTCAACCAAAATATTGAGCTGTCTAGAAAGTTCATGTGTGCAATTCGTTTTTATAAAATGTTATCTGAAATAAAATTAATACAGAAATGTAATTGATAATTAGTTTAAAAGGTAGAGAAAAAAACGTTTCTGATGTAGAGTAGTTTCGTTGATGGTAAAGAGGCTAGGGGTAATTATAAAAATGTTTTTAGGTCTTCAAGATTTTCGTTAAAATATTTTTGTAACCCAATATAACTTATATATTTTAAACATTTTGTCAGCTTCGGCTTTGAAAACTTTAACGCCTTTCATAATATCAATATGCAACATAAACAAAGAAACCTATTTTTTCTATATTTTTTCTTAGTTTGATAACCTTGGTGTCAAATCTTGACCGAAAGATATAATATCAATATGCAACATAAACAAAGACACCTATTTTTTTTCTGTATTTTTTCTTAGTGTGATGGTCAGGATTTGACACCAAGGTTGAAAGAACTTCGTATTCATGCTATTTTATTTCTAAATATTCCCAGGTCAGTATATGATAGATTTAGCTTTTAAAGATTTGATTTTATTATTATAATTCCTAAACAGTTGTTGAAATTATCCTACGCTCACCACAGTGTAGCCTGGACACGTTATATTTATATATCTTCTGTGGCGTATGCTTTATTCAGTTTTTAACTTTGTTCGTTTTGATGTTTAAGCGCAAAGTTGCACAAGTGTCTATCTTCTCTATGCCCACCATAGGGATCTATACCATAATTTTAGCTTTATAAGACCTCAAACTTACCAATGAGACATCTAGTGATTGCACTTTTATTTTTAGCACTATGGATGTCTTTGGAGATGTTTTTCTTACAAACGACGAAACTCATAAGAGTAAAAGGATGCCCTAATTGTTTTTTAGAACCTTCGTGTATTCTCTACCAGATTATCACCTTTTTTATTTTATGGGTCTAAAGTATCTTAACATTGAAGAGGTAATGTTACACATGTTACATGTATACAATAAATACTTAATACAACGAACTACAATCATAAAAGTGAGTAAATCGGTTAACTTACGATTGTTTCGGTTTTCAACTCGATATATCAGTAGCTCAGCGGCAAGTCTGTAGGCTTACAACGCTAAAAATTGGTTTTCGATACCCGTGGTAGGTAGCGCATAGATAGTCCATTGTGTAGCTTTGTGCTTAACAACAACCAAACCAAAATTTATTTTACTCACATAAATTTCTCTTGGTGTTAACTTTTCATATACAAATATTTTCTATACTGGTTAGTGCGGTTTGCTTAATAATAAAGTAAAATTTGACATTTAAAATAATTATTAGATAAAACAGTTTTTATGAAACACAAAGTAGATAAACATATTTATTCAGAGACAGCGTTTGTCATAATTTCAAACTAAATAAAATTTGAATAGAGATTACGATTCATCTTGGAAGATGTAACCGGTTTCAGCTGTTAGCACTTGACGACGATATTTCTTGATTAGGTAGAATCTTACTGAGTCCACAAACAAACATAGATGAATGAGGCTGACTACGTTTTATTGATCTTATGTACTCATGTATATTCGTTACTGTCATCTAAAATTAGGATAACATTTTGTGTCCTGCCAAAATATTAAGTCCTAAAAATAAAAGGATTTCACTTGCTCAGATAAATTTCACGCATATGCACTACTGTGTTATTTTGCCTTTGATGTTTTATATCCATTTCTAGTTATGGTGGGGGAACACGGCCTTGGATAAGCCCCGGGGCAGGTTTTGAACTTCAGAGAACAGATGATGGACTAATAGAGATCTTAGGTCTTACAACGTATCAACTGGTAAGTGACTTTAAACAGGAATTATCATAAAAATATTATACACGTTGTGATCAAAACGGTCTTAAGTTTAACGTGAAGATAACTTAACAATTTAAAGACAGATGGCATTACTGTTGGAAAGAGTCAAGTTTTAAACTGAAACCATATCCAAATACGTAATGTTGCATGCAGTTTGACAGCTTATAGCTCTTATCATACGGTAGTATATGGTAGTAAGTTTAATTAAAACGGATAAAATCAAGTGTGACTATAGAATATTGGACATAATGTATAATCGTGTAATTCAAACTGGAAGAGAATAGACAATTCTAATATTAGTGGATCTTACGCGTTGCGACCGTGACCTTCGACAGTACTTCTAATGGTGTACCAATACTGGCTGACAGTAGCTTAAGTTGCATGATAACGTTATTTTTGTGTTTTAACTGTACTAAAAACAGTTATGTTGCATGATAAGTTAATTTTAATGCTTTAACTGTACTAAGAGTAGCTATGTTGCATGATTTGATTATTTCAGGTCCTTAGCATTACTAAAAGTAGCTTATGTTGCATGATAACATTATTTTGTAAACTAAACAGTTTCTTCTACTTATAGCCCTTGCTCCAAGCAGGGGGCCATGGAACTTGTCTTGCTCAGTGTCGACATGCACGTATTGTTACAACTCGTACAATTCCTATGCAAGTGGATGGAGAACCCTGTAAAATACTGCCCTCTATAATAGAGCTTCGTCTCCGTAACAAAGCGAGTATGGTTGCCAAAGCAAAGGTATGTTAATTCACCAGTTTTCATAAGCTTCAACCATGGATTATATTTAGTATTTTCCTATACCATTTTATGATCTTACTCAAAAATCCTAAAATCAACCTTTTTCTTATCTGTTCCTCTCATTTAACTAGCATAACCAAGTTAATGAAATTATTTATTAATATTAACAGATGCATGCTATGTTTGAATAGGACATTTTAGCTAATTACCAAAATTCTTCTTTGCCGAACGTGACGCAATGATCAAATAAGATGAGGTTTCGAAAATTCTTCTATTTGTAAAGTGTATCCCTTACTAATAATATTAGTCATTTTATGTTTACATAAGTAAACTATATTATTTTAGTTTTGCTGCATTTCAGTTCACTTGAGTATTCGCTATCTAATTACTTGCCTGAGAAAGTATTGAATGTGTGCCTTACTTTCACTATTACTGCCTCACTTTTTTACAGCTGATTTACATAATTTATAATATATGATAAATTTCCTTCAAATGCGTATTCGTACTGCCATTTGATGGATAAATATAAAATTAAAAATGTCATTCTGAAAGCGTTACAGATATAATACATGCGACATGCAATGACGAAGTTTATTACTAAAAATGTCGAATGTAAAATGATTATTACAGTCATTAAGAATTATGCATAACTGTATACAGATAATATAATAGCTAGATAAAATCACAAGTGAGAAAAATGTTTTTTGTTGTTGTTGTTTTTTTTGTCTACCTCTGCTTACGAACTTTTAGGAGTTCTTTTTCTTATGTGGTCCTGTGGACTAAATTAAGTACAATGGATCTGTATATTCTATATTTCTTACTTTAAAAAGTTATTAATTGTTTGCTTTATAAAAACTTCTAACGTGTAAAATGTTCTTCTTCTTCTTCCTATTCTTTTTTTATATGACCCTTGGTATGTAATTCAACGGTCATATAAAAACAAACAAAACCCAATGTATGTAATTATTGGGTTTTGTTTGTTTTTATATGACCCTTGAATTACATACATTGGATTTTGTTTGTTTTTATATGACCGTTGAATTACATACATTGGGTTTTGTTTGTTTTTATATGACCCTTGAATTACATACATTGGGTTTTGTTTGTTTTTATATGACCCTTGAATTACATACATTGGGTTTTGTTTGTTTTTCAGAGACATGGCGATGTACAATCAATGTAAGTAATATTTATCTACACTGTTGTTTGCTGTTAATCATTTCAAACATATCGTTGTAGTTTGTTTGTTTGTAATTAAGCACAAAGCTACACAATGGCTCTGCCCACCACGGGTATCAAAACCCGGATTCTAGCGTTGTAAGTCCTTTTGAGATTTCTCTAAATGTTTGATGATAAAAATATGGTTGATGTTAATTATAAATAGGTATAAATGTTTAATTTTTCTTCTTTTTTTTGGAATAACACTTCAACACTGGTAAAATACACGAAGTCTTTTTGGAATTTTTTCTTGGATAAAAAAAGGGACGAGATTTAAGGTGTGTGTGCTCTCTGATTCTAGAAACGCACTTAAAGTCACAAGACTAGATAAATCACAGATGAAAAAACAAACACTCTTGTAAGATAGACTCCCCCTTCTATAAAGGTAAATTTTATAAAGTGTTCAGCTTCTTGTTTTTTTAATGTATACTTGATTGGTTCCAATGAAAGGTTTGAAATAAACAAGTGTAATACCTGCTGATGGTGAAAATTAATCCAACACCAAAACGTCGAATCCTTTTATATAATCATCCTTTACGTCGTTCTTGCTATTCTGAAGAAATGAGTTTTTAACGACAGCTATATCTGATTCCAAAAGATAATTTATATAAATGAGTAAAACAAAATTTTTTAAAACCCGATCCTGCAGCTGAGAAGCGTAACGAATCCTTAATGTACGCACTCGGTTAAAAGCATATCGCCTCGTGCTTGTTTAGAATGTTTCAATTAAACTGTGTGCTCCATATCAGGATGACCTTACTTTTTTAAAGCTCTCAAACTATGGAGAGTGCTATCCTGAACCACGTGTTTTAGTAAGCGAAATGTGTATGAGCAACGTTTTCTTAGGAGATTCATGCTTCTTTACGGGCAAAGACCAAACAGAAAATTGCTTATTAGTTTTATGAGTTCTCAGATAGGATAGTACTTTAAAATATGATTATTTCTTTACCTTTTAGCCAGGAATCATAGCTCAGTTCAATTTTTCAGTTTCTTATAGTGTTTCATGTCTAGCGCTTAAACCAAATAAACAGAACATGGAGAAAGACTAAATTACTAGGACTTTTCACTAGTTTAAAGCTTGTAATTCTTCCACGGTTTTGATCTTTTCATCAAACCCTCCAACTGGTGATTGTACACTAAATAATAATTATACATTTTAACATGGTGAAATACTGTAAAGGCTTCATGTACTCATCCAGTAACCCACGTTATGAGGCGTAAACAATAGTACAAATTATTTAAGTTTTATAGTTTCAAATGAGAACTGTCTTCATATTCAGAAGTCACAATACACCTGGTTGTTTAAACTCCCATTATTATAGTTGCATGACATAATGACTCATTGAAAAAGCTTGGATTATTATTATTATTATTATTATATATATATATATATATGTGTGTGTGTGTGTGGCTCCCAAACAAACGTTTAGACTTGGAGCTTTCGGCTAATTGGTCCGACTCTCTGATATCAGTTTTATGTGTTCATGTCTACCTTTGCCGTTAAGAAATAGAACTTTGTACACAATCTAAGTTGCTTTGTAGTTTATTTTTAAATACGTGAGACCTATACAGTTTGTTCTTCTAGGCCTACCTTAGAGAAACTGACTGTCGAGGTCCGAAGACTCAGTATGACAGAATACGAGACATACCATTACGATAAGGAAAAACTGAATGAAATTTGTAAGTCTCTTCATTGTATTCCAATATATTTGTTCATGAAAACGTATGTCCATGTTTGTTTAAAAACAACGAAATAAGAATTAATCAATTAAAATAACTTTTGGGTAAAACAAACTACCAATATAGATCAAAACTAAACATTATCCCAGTAATGAATATAGCTAATATAATATACTGCTCATAAACATTACTCATAACTAAACTCATTGCTCATAACTAAACATTAACCCAGTAATGAATATAGCTAATATAATATACTGCTCATACGTTTTTACTTATTATGATTAGAATGCAATGATTCAGTGGTTTCCAAACTTTATTTAGTGGCGCCCCCGAACTCAGCTTTATTTTTCTCGGGGCCCCCCCTTCTTCATACTGAAAATTTTTTACAAGTGATAATAACGGCAAATACAGTAGTTTCTTTGCTTCTCTTTAATCAGTTTTTCTTAAGTATTACTAGAAAAATTTAAAGTGATAAACATTTATTTTTTTATTTTTTATGCTTCTTTCACTGTTATTTTTGAGTTCTCCTCGCAAAAGCTCTTCCCCCAGCCACCCCTTTGTGTCCCATAAAGAAGTCGCGCCCCACAGTTAGGAAAACACTGCATTGATTCACCAGTTGGGTACTGTCACTGTTAGCGATATTTTCGGCCATAATCCCAACAATATACTACAGGATTTGTCAAACTTTGAAGATGTAGATTAGTCCTAAATCCACATACTAAACCAGCAATGAAAAATAATCTTTATAATAAAGTATATATATATATATATGTGTGTGTGTGTGTGTGTGTGTGTGCATGTATAATTAAAAATGAAAATTAATGAAGATAAACATGTTATATGTATCAAGCAATTAGGTAATGCTTTAATGAAGCTATCATTACAGAAAGACTAAAATACAATTTAATTAAAAAATACATACACTCTCACTGATTTCCTATCCCTTGAAAAGCGTGATACCAGTATAAGGCAAATATTATATTATCTTCCCAAACAACATTTAGTGACCAATGAAAAACGTGAACCAGCTCTGATGTTGTTACTTTAGAATAGCTTAACATTTGAGATAAAATACTACGACACATAGCTGTTTAATTATAGCACGAGAGTAGAAAGGCACAGATAGTACACCAAAAAACTGATGTTTATCCAGGTTATATATATAATGAATAACAGAATAGTGCATTAAATAGCAAGAGTATTGATGCTATAATTATAATATAACCAGATTAAATGCAATAAAACAAACAAACAATATACTAAATACACTATCAGGTGAGTCTAACACTATTAATCAAACTTTAAGGCTACACCTATCGCTTTACAACAGACAGCCAGAAAGAATAAATAACGTTAAACCCTAAGAGCTAGCCGAAATGTAAAAGCGATAATAAGATACGAGAAAGTTCACAACAATAATAAGACTTAACGAAAGAAGTAACAAGAATAGGAAATATTACAAAATGATTAACAGAAAGTAATGTGATTAAACTAATGACGTAATCTTATACTATGTATGTTTATGTTGATTACATCAATACATCAAGTGTTTTGTAAAAGCTAAAATTTTGTTGTTTTCTTATTGTTAAATACAAAGCTACATAATTTGCTATCTGTGCTATGTCCACACTGGGTATCGAAACCTGGGTTTTAATATCAAAAGCCCACAGAATTGGAGGTTAAAACTAACAGAAGATAAAAGTAATGGCGGTCGTCATACTACGGTGATTAATTATTACCTTAAAACGTAGTTGATAATTTAAGGAATAGATAGGATACTTTTGAAAAGGTCGTAATATAAGTGAACAACTGAACAAATTTAGTGTTCAAAATGCGGTAGGAAAAGCCTCGGTTGTGAAAAATGAGAACGATTTTACAATCTCTACAGTTGACTTACCAACAGGTTATAGAGCCTGTGATGGCATATTTTGTTAAAACCAGGTACCCATTATAGATCAACTTTGTATATGGTGATGGTGGTTGCCACCCTAGCATTTGACTTCTGAGGTCATTTTCAAAGTCATTCGTATCAAATGAGATAAATATTAGGTGATACTAGGTAACTGTGTATAAGTCAAAGTTTCTCAGAAAATACTAATTGAATGGTTTAAAGTACAATATTATAGAGTAATTTAATCTATAATTAGATCAGCAGGAGACCTGATAAAGAAGTCATTATGCCTGTATTGCATCGATTTTTTACTTAACTGGGCATCATTTTAATAGATAAACTCCATAATGAATACAGATATTTTTAATGTTGAAATAATTAGTAAAACATATTGAATATAACTATTTATACGCAGCAGAAAAAGTTTCATGTTAGTTTGACAGTGTATTCTAAAATAGCATAACTTTTTTCATTGATAAAATTGAAGTTCATTTTACATTTCTCATTAACGTAACTTTTAACGACGTATTTTCGCCTGCGAACATGGAACTCTGTCATTAGCAATTCAGCTGTGTTTCCGAAATAGCAGTGAGCATACTGAAATAAGCTGTCATTACTTAGCTTAACACTGCAGTGTGGAGGTCATGCATCACTGAACACACTTGTATGGAAGTACATGTAATTTCAGACATGTCGGAACTTGTAGACCTCGTGATAATATTTAAACATTCACTTTCATAAAGGTTTTGGTGAATGTATTATAATTCTAAGAACTAATTAAATGAGATTATTCAGAAATATCAAATGAGGATTAAATATTTAAAACTCGTATATAATAATAATAATGATAACGTTATTAAAGGTATATAGTATGTTTAATGACGTCATCACGTCATTAGTAGATATATTTGAAGACACCATCATTTTTATATAAGGGTGTTGAAAATTTACTCCTCACACCTTAAATTTGACCTTCAATATGCAGAAACCTTTATACGTAAAAATATTTAACTGTTTAAAGAAAGTCTTGAAATATATTTACTTGCTATAAAATATAATTCACTCATTCATAAAAGTGATAATTAGTTTTAATGACATTGTTTTATTTCTCAGTCACATAATACCAATTTAATACCGAACTTATAAAATATTTTTATCTTTACTATATATAAATAGCAATATACAATAAATTGTACAAAATTATTTGAACATAAAAATATCTGTGCATTAGGGAGCCATTTACCTAATAACGATACACAGTTAAACAAAAACAACAATAAGCATACTGTCTTAATTAGGTCACCGCTGACTTAATTAATATCAGGTTCATTTACTCAGTAAAAATACGTTTTTTGATTATTCAGATCTTAATTTCCTCTGCTTTATGCTGAGAAAGGTACTTATCCACCTTCATTCTAATCCCTATCTTTTGTAGAGTTGATTTATGACGGAAACTTGCTTTTAACAAGAAACGTCATCAAAACTATTTTTGTGATCCATAAGACAACTACCATAAAATCTTGTAACGGTAGACAAATTCTATCCTATCTAATAAGCTGGATACTAAATATTTTAACATGATTTATTTTGAAACATTTGTATTCGGAACTGGAAAATTTATAAGATCGAAATTAAATGTCTGTTTTATTAAAAATTTTGAACTTAAAAGCTTGATTAACGATACATATATATAAATGCAAGTTATGTGTTTTGTGAAAGAGCTTTTTATAGAGTGAGTTTAGATGTATAAATGTGCTTGGCAATCTTTTCTTGAACATATAGCTTTATCTATCTAGTTACTTTCATACATATACGTTTTCTTAGTTTTGTCAGTTAGGCTATAGTCTTATTTTACCTACTGAAAAATAAATATAATCTTCCTTTCTTTTCCTGAACCCATAGGTGGATTAACAATCGCTTTCTGCTTTCAAATCCAAAATTTGAACTATGTTTCCTGTCCATATAGTACGGTTCTGAAATTACGCTTGTTAACGTAATTTGCCATAGTTGATCAAATCCACATTTTTCGAATACATTTAAATGTGCTATAAATATTCTAAATATGGAAACAGCTGTGACTTTGCCTGTAATTATATCTAATTGTAACATAAATATATTTACATCTGAGGCATTGTTGAGTCTTAATTATAAGCATAAAGGTCTTTAATCTGTATAATTTTTTTACGAACACTAGTCTTTGTGAATCGTTGCTAACTTAACTATAAACAACTTAAAACACTGTTGCTGTTTGTATGTCAGTCAAACATCGAAACGAAATCTTCTAATCATTGTTGAAGTTGAACTAATTTGAGCTTATGCCGGATTTTCTTGGGAAGTATTCCATATGAATTTTGGAGTTAACAATAAGATATAATATTTATCACGAATATTAGAACTGCTAAATCCATTAAGTCGCCAGATTTCGGCGTTTAACACTGTATCATTAAAACTAACTTTTTTTGTATTACATTATAAAATAGTATTTTCAATGGATGTTTGGCTGCCATGTTTATCAGCCCAACTGATGAGTCCTACTTATAAAATGAAAGGTCTCCTGGGCTGAATCTGAAACACCATTTTACACTCCTTTCATATGAAGTCTGTAAGAGACTTATTAAGAGAAATATAAGAATATTACAATGTATCGTGATTATTGTTAACTATATTAGATTGACTGGCTTCAATACTTCACTAACTTTCGACCTTTAGCATCGTAGCATTAAATTTCTATAATCCTTTAGCAAATATATTAAACGTATATTAATTTTAACCGATATTTATAGCTTTATATAAATCGAAATAATTTGTTTTTAATAATTACGAAACAGGTATTTTCTGATCGACAAATGATCTCTTTATTGTTATCTAAAAATTTATGGAACTTAGATTTTCATTTGTACAAAATTTATCTGTCTTATGAGAAATTGTTTGGGTTTTACAGTCTGCTTTTACCTCACGAGATGTATTGAAAATAATCTAATACAAGCAAGACTCAAATTTATTTTATTGTTTTTCTGCAGAATTTGATAAAATTGCCATCTGCCAACTTATAATTAATCGGTGTAGCCCACGTTGCAGCAATTAACGTTCTTGATATTGCTTATATAATTTTAAAATCTCATTATGCCAGTATTTTGACTTGTTGTATACGCTAACGTTGTAAGTTATAGTACCCTGTAACCCTTAATCTCTTCAATTTGTATTCCTACTAGAATTCTTAAACATCAAATATTAGTTAATACTTAGCTTTATTTTTTTAGCCGTACCTGTGGGAAAGTTATGTGTAGATCCTGATACTTATTTGGAACAGATACGAGCTCGAATTAATGAACTACTAGAGGTAACATTTTCCTTTATTTCTCGAATTATTAATAAAAACATAGCAATTACAATAACAACCAAGACCTGACACTGATAGATTCAGTCATTTTCATTCAGCTTTGAAGTTGTAAAGGGTAAATATTATATTTCATATTTTTGCAAGTTGTAGGATTGAAATGGCGGGGAAAAACAAAGACTTTGGCAACCGCTAGATAAAATTCGAAACGAAATCCTGAGAAACGATAAGTTACCAAAAATTATCTAAACTGTTACACGTACTTACATTTATGTCCATTAAGAACATCATTTAATATGAAATTCGTATCAACTGAGAAAGATATTATATTTAACACAGTAATCTTTGAGTTGTTATTACTATCAAACTTTTGTTCAATCAAGTAAAAATACCGTTTCTAGGTGTTTACAAGAATATGTATGTAATTTAAAATGTTGACATCATGTCACCATGAATAACTTAAACCAGATTTATATACAATAACATAACATTCCAGTAAAACTGAGTTTAAGCGCTTTATAAAATTATGCTGATTCAGATGAGATGTCAAAAATGTGAGTAAAATCTGATTAAAAATTCAAGGAATTTGTGTTCTTCGTTTTAATTTCTTTACCGTTCTATACGCTATCCAGTGCTTGTCATCATAGATTATATAGCACAGTTACTGCAACTGTCAAAACGTTTAAACACTAAACATGAAGACCTTATAAGTTCAGAAACATCTGGTTACTAGCAGGTCTAAAGAAAGATAGTGTTTGACTAATGCGACAGGAGAGGAGCTCAATATTACAAAGAAAAATTATTGGCACCCGACGCATGTCTTTAGTTAGACTTAAATTAAACTATGTTAAGAAAATCTGGTGTTTTAAATGAGATTGAAAGTATGTTAAAATAGTAAACATTAATTAGCAGACTGACTGTGTGCATAAAATATAAACAGCAGTAAGAAACTAATGAAAATTCTTTAAAATCAAGGATTTATTAAAGAACTCGACTTAACTAGGTCTTTCGAAAAATAATTGTTATTCTATTATACCAATATTTTAGGTTGATTTGAGTGGAACTTCCATTATTGTATATAACAACAATGAAACGGTTAATCGACACGTTTGATGATATATACATTCACATATACGAAACTGTTATTCTATTATACCAATATTTTAGGTTGATCTGAGTAGAACTTCCATTATTGTATACAACAACAATGAAACGGTTAATCTACACGTTTGATGATATATATACACTCATATATAACCATTCATTGTAAGGTAAAATAACTCTTATGTTGTTATGTGTGAGTGTATATATATTATCGATTTAACGATTTTATTGTTGTTGTGTATCAGAGTGGAAGTTCCACTCTGATCAACGAGGTGATCGTGTTGTTTCTGTTTGTAACACGCTGTCCTGAGTTCGTTAAAATCGATAGAATAAGTCAGTGTATCTGAAGGTCTGGTCTGTACAGAAATACGAACATTCTTTTTAATCTTTGAAGCCTAAATTGGAATATTGTGAAACATAAAAGTAGATTGCTTTAATTTTACAGCTTGTAAGTTTCATTTCTCAAACTTGTCCCACAGCTATTCAAAGATACCTATCACAACATATGGGTCTGTACTGTGTCACATTATTGTTTTGTCAGAAAAACATTTTTCAAGGCGTATTTCAGCATAATCTTGTGCTATAATACGTTCGTTTTTCTATGAAGGTAATTTTTTTAGGCTTTTTAAATGCGCTTATAGGCGTATTAACTCATCGTAAGACTTATTATAGCTTGATATGTGTAGGAATGTTAATATCCATTGGAAAAGATACTAATGTAAGTTGATACTATTTTGTAAAAAATGTAGTAAAATATTCATTTTAGAGAACAAATTTCATTCTCATCCTTTGTCTTCCCGTTACAAATTTCAGCCACCTTAATAACATGAGTGTTTTAACCTAAACTTTTTAAATAACATGTATCTAATTAAAGTACAGGCCTTTCAAAGCTCAAAATAAGAGAGGTCTGAATGTCACTGTTTTAATTAAACTCTCTAACATTATTATTTACACTTGTAAAACAAGCAAATTCAGCAATAACGTTTCGAAACTTTACTATATCAACCAAAACATAAGCATGTTGTTGTATATACTGACATGTAGCAATATATATATATATGTGTGTGTGTGTGTGTGTATTTTGTTGTTGTTGTTTTTTTTTCATCTAGCAAACATCAGGAACCACACCAGATGATGAACCATTAACTGAAAATAGCATGTGCCCGGAATGGTGTTTTCTTGACTGTGAGTAATTAACTTACTAGTGTATATTCATACTAGTGTTTTTCAAAGTGATATAAGTTAACTCTTTTTAAACAGTGATACTAGTTATCTTTTTTCAACAGTGATATTAAAAAGTTATCAAATAGTGATACTAGTTAACTTTTTTAAACAGGGATATTAATTAATTATAAAACAGTGATACTAGTTAACTTTTTAAACAGTGATATTAATTAATTATAAAACAGTGACACTAGTTAACTTTTTTAAACAGTGATATTAATTAATTATAAAACAGTGACACTAGTTAACTTTTTAAACAGTGATATTAATTAATTATAAAACAGTGACACTAGTTAACTTTTTTAAACAGTGATATTAATTAATTATAAAACAGTGACACTAGTTAACTTTTTTAAACAGTGATACTAGTTAACGTTTTTAAACAGTGATACTAGTTAACTTTTTTAAATAGTGATACTAGTTAACTTTTTAAACAGTGATACTAGTTAACTATTCTAGTTACATGGATAGTAGATATGTCTTTGGAACAATGATAATCCCAAATTTTCTCTTATGATGAAGTGAATTTGGAAACGCAATCCTTGCTTGTAGTATATGTCATAATTTCATTATGAGTAATACATTATCGTCACTCTGACATAGTTATCTTATTGCAGGATCGTTTCAAAATGCGCTTTTCAAGGAACCCATTGCGTATATTAGTTTACCAGGCAAATTAATTTGTCTTCTCATAAAGATTTGTTTCTGCATATTTTAAAATATACCTTTGAAATATCTACTTTTTGAAATGGCTCAGAGATGTGTTGTTCATTACAAGAAGACTAGAGTCTTTGGTAATAAGAATGTGGGTTTGACCTAAAACTTGTGCTTTATAGGGAATTGTTCTTTGCGTGTTCCATTACGTTACATTTGTCAAGGACGAGAACTTGTTCCCTTGTGACACAGCTACTGATTATACATTACATCAAATAGTCGAAAAGTCGGACAGAAATTATTTGAAGCCTGCTCGCTTCTATGTTAATTCAATGACAAAAAAAAACATTTTACTTGAAATAAATTTAGTTTATTATCAAATTAAATGACGAACATTAACAGTAATTTGTTTTTCATAGCCTGTACAGCAGAGCGATTTTTTCGAATTGATCGAGCCCAGGAAAATCTTTATTACATGGTGGACATCTGTGCTGATGAGTTGTTTATTCTGTACCCTGAAGATACATCCCTTGTTGAATCTAATGGTCAAGATAGCACAGAGTGCCTTGAAAACGATGCCTCAACTGTTGCCCTTAATGGAAGCGAACAATCTAGCACCCCCAGTCCCAGTGGCCGTGATGAAACTCTATTTCCGATGTTGCCTGATGAACATGAAGGGTAAAAACCTTGTTAAACTAATAGACTATAATTCTTAGATTAGTTGACAGGATTTTTAAGAATGTTAAATGAAGTTATTAAACTGTTATTTGTTCTGTGTGTTTTTTTTTTCAATTGTCATAAGTATCAGATGGAATGGTGTGTTTAAGCTATAATTATTTCAGAATATTTGTATATGGGTAGTGAGAAAATGTAAGGAAGACAGCACAACTGAAAATAATGCATAATCAAAGTATTCTTAGAATAAATGTAAGCACTGTTTGCTTAGTGTTCTCCAGCATCTGTTGCCAATTGCTGTAAGTTAGCAGTGACATTATAAGTAACATTTATTCAAGAACAAACATTGTAAAAATAGTTTTTAGCTTAGTTTATAATTAACAAAGAAATACACGTGAAATTAAACATTTACTGTTTTATTTTTCAGTGTTACTACTGAATGTTTGAAAGACATTGAGTGAGTGTTTACTTCTCCTGAGGTTTTTAATTAAATTACAATATTTTATGTTCAATCGTAGATTAAATGGATAAGTTTAGTCTGTTTATTTTCCTGTTTAACTGTTATGATTTCATACAATATCCATAGGATTGTTTCATTATTTCACCATTGTGTAAAAAACTTAAATTATAACAGGCTTATTTTAAAATGTTTGTTTTTGATTTATATCCTACTTTGAGAAAATTTTATCCATTTAATTCTTAAGTTGACTAAAAGAAACGAAAATGCAATTTGATACATATGGAATTGAATATTTTATCTACACTGAGTAAAGAAGATAGCTTTTCTTGTTACGTGAAGATTGTGGTTTCCATAACTAACGACGAATAAGTAATATAGAGATTTATAGGATCATTTTTAATTATATTCTTCTATTAATATGAAAAAATAGTTATTTCAATAAGCCAATCAACGCATAACTTACGTTTGAATACTTAAAATTACTCTGGCTCAAAGAAAGTATGTGAGCATGATAACTGAGTATCGTATTGAAAACTATTATTACCTTTAAAAAATAATATATAGTACGTAATTATGATTTTCAATATCTATTTTGAAGTCATAAATAGAAACACTAATTTTTCTTTTTACATGCCTATTTCAGAAGTGCGTTAGAGAAATCATCAGAAGGTAAGTATAGAATATTTAACAAAAAAATTAAGCTTTTCAAATAATAGATTCTTTTTTTTGTCGGACTGTAATATTTACTAGCATTCATATTCTGGATTTTTTATATACAGAGAAGTGTTCAGATCTATAATAATAATAATAATAATACAAGGATGAGTGTCTAGGTCTTAAGTTCTTTCTTTCACCATCCAGTTGGTTTCTATATGATAACCCTGTAGCACAATTGTCATTACAGGAGGTTTTTGTGTAACACATTGAGGTCACTGTAGTCCCTCTCATCTTTACCTGCTTTCCAAAGTCCATCTCACAAGGACCCCTTTGAGCAACACAAAGAAAAAAAGGTCCATATAAAATGTTTGTGAATGATACAGCAATAGCATGTTTTTATAGAGCCATGCCTTATTGACATTCAGTCCGTAAAAAAGATGGTCTTTCCTCACGGTAAAGTAGAGTTCATCTTGACATTTTCTCGATTCTCCGGGTTTTCACGTACAGTTATAACTGTAAAACAGGTATAACTGTTAAAGATGGTCTCACGGTATAGTAGAGTTCATCTTGACATTTTCTCGATTCTCCGGGTTTTCACGTACAGTTATAACTGTAAAACAGGTATAACTGTTAAAGATGGTCTTTCCTCACGGTATAGTAGAGTTCATCTTGACATTTTCTCGATTCTCCGGGTTTTCACGTACAGTTATAACTGTAACCTGAAATCATTACTTTTGCAGCACGTCTGTACCATTTTTAAATGTTATATCTCCAACAGGATGATAATACATCATCCGGATTTTGTTAGACACTTATGTAAATATAATACTCGTCTAATTTGATTAGATACTTCCATTTTCACGTGCCAAATATCTTTTGACAATAAGTCTTCCATTCGGCTAATCCCCAGTCGGCCAGTGATACATTTACAACACTATATGTAACTTTGCGCTGAAACAAACAAACAAACCATTCTGCCATGTGTTTTGGGAGAAGCTTGTGAACACCTCTCTTGTGTCACTTTACTGGACCCAAATCTGTGTGTATTATTTGTTTATAGTTTCAAGGGAGATTCCTACTTCAGCTGAAATAGACTTCTGTATTGTTGGGTTACTTCCAGTTACAAGCTGTTAACTTTTAACACTGCCTCCTGAAAGCGATTGATAGCTGGTCGTGGAGTAGCTTATTAATTTTCTTGCTAGAATTACATCATCCCTTGCTTTACCCATAATATTCAATATATAAGAATAATTTATTTGAAACTAGAATATCGTGCCTTGCATAATATTATAATCGCATAAAAGGAAAACTTCGTGTACTAAAGTCTTATAATGTAACATTCTCAGAAGAGGTCAGTTTTAGACACCATCTGCACTTGCAAATTACCACATATTAACTTACTTCCCAGGAGGTCAGGGCTTTTATCCTGTGTATCACAGCCTACTGGGATCATTAGTGGCAAGATTATTGGATATGCAAGTTGTCACCATATAACATGATCAACACTTTATTATGACACAAAAATTTTGTCAATTGTCAAATATTGTTAAAAAGATTTAGAGAATCTGAGCATTCCACGAACTATATTGTGTACATTTGTTCTAAAACTGTAAAACATAGGTTTATGAAATATTTTGGCCATTTAAGTATTGGCTATTAATGTTAAATTGATATGCATGAATTCGCCTTCGATATAATCGTAAAAATAATTAAATTAAATATTTATTTCAGAAACTTTTGATTTTACTTATCAGCTTAATGTAACTATTATTGCAATTTTACATTACACACTACTTTGAATAATTCGTTGTTTTTGATACCAACTTATATTATTAAGGCTTTTTACTACAACGAAAAATTGTGCAAATTTATGTACTTCAGTTTAAATAATTATCACGTTACGATGGTACTAAATTTGATTGGCTCCCCATAGATTGCCTCCTGATGATTCAGCGGTACGTTTGAGGACTTATAACGCTAAAAATCAGATTTCGATACTCTCGGTGAGAACAGACAGCTCACTGTGTAGTTTTGTGCTCAATAACAAAAAAAAACATCTTATAACTTACCTAAAATCATACAAACTTATTTCTTTTTAACAATTTAATTTTTTAAATATTAAAAAGTTGAATTGTTTTGAGTTGAGGTAAAGAGGTGAAAGCTCTTCTGAATGAACTCTCTCTCCTATTGGTTTACATATTTTTGGCAATAGGAGAAATGCTAAAGTAATAAAACAAGAAAGTTCCTACAAAGGTACAATCATGGGTAGTTAAATAATTGTTAATCATGGTAAACTTATTAATGAGTACATTTATCCTTGTTGAACTTTTATTGTTCCTTTTAAACAGTGAAATTCAGTATGACGTCATTAAATATATTTATAATTAGATTAGTAAAACGATAATTTTCCATTTTCTCCAAGATTCTAAATGTAACCCTTAAAACTTCAATGTAGACGAGGTTGAAAACATTGTGAATTGTGTAAACTTCAGTAGCTCATTTTTCTATGATAAAATACTTTTTGTTGTAAGCCAATATAAACTTTTTGTTTCATACAACTTACAAATTAATACCTTAAATACGGTTTCAACCATAGCTTTATGTTTTGAGGTTTGCTGATTGGATGAGCTATGGCTTTGAGCAAAAGGCGTCGTAGTCAACAATTGCAAAATCATTATAGATTAATGAAGTTTTATGTTTCCATAAACAGGTGTTGATATGATTATAATATATTGTTTAGATTATTGAAAGTTTTATTGTAGTTTCTAAAAAATATAAACAGCCAACAACGGGATTTAAAAAGAGTATAAAACAAAACTCAATGTTTCATCAGCTGTTTATACTTTTTAAATTAATTAAACGGGATAGCTGTTTTTAAATACAAGTTACTGTAATATGTTATTACACTTTCCACACAAATGTACTCTAAGGTTAATTAATATTTTGTAAATATAACCCTTATGTTGTGTTTACTTACGTATCTTAGACGTTAATATGCGTCACATCAGCATCGGCGTTAGGATAATGAAAAATCATAACTAGATTTCAAATTACATTGACTTAACCCCTTTCACTACTGTCCAAAGAGTTAACGGTGGCTAGATTCAACAAAGTAATAACGTCATCAACACAGTTCGTTATTTCTTCCTCAGTTAAATAAGTGTGTTGTTGTATTGTTACTAAAACTTCTTATTAGACATTATTGTTCGAAACATGTAGGAATGTTTTCTCTTCTTTATAAGTGTTTGTAAACAGGAAATTATATATAATTAATACAATTCTTCATCTCGTCTTTCAGATGTGATAATTGCATCTAAAACAGGTGACTTACCACTGGTAAGGATTTCGTTTTTAATTTTTCTTTACAGTATAGAAAAGCCCATTTTAAAACTGAATTTAATACATTGTTTAATCCTACACCCATAATTACACCAAATATATTAACATTATGTTCCAACGATACATACCTATACAAAACTATCATAAGAAGTGATTAGGTTAAGATAATTGTGGAACAATAACAGTATTTTGAACAAAGTCACTATATTAAGTATGATTTAGAAACTTGAATACCTAAACTTCACACGATTAATTTTTTTATGTATATGGCAGACTTAATGATGCGAAAGCATGAAGCTTTATTTATGCAATTTGTTAGAAATATGTCGATTTCAACTAACAGTAAGCAACAACTTGTTTTGTGTTGTTGCATACTCAAAAGCTATATTTACTTTAGTTAATATCATTGAGTAATATTTCTACATTATTTAAATGGCTACTTTATTTAGACTTGATATCTGGAAAAACAGCCTAGATTAAGCCTAACATGGACTCTACAAGATACTTGAAGGTTTCTTGTTTAATAGTAACCCATATATATTCAAGAGTATAATCAACAATTGGTTCACAGTTGTCCGAAAAGGAATATGGTGACAAAAGAGACGTTCAAGGTCATTCCAAAGTTTCTCATTTGGATTAAGATTAAATGATTTGTACTGATTGAAGAATATTATTTAAGTCGCTATCATGATCTTCTGAACGAATTGGATAATACGGGTGCTATTAGTTGTCTGAATATTACCTCTGTAGTGTTCCCGTTCATCATTATTGAAATCCAGCATTATTAGATGAACTTCGCTTCAGTCACAGCGTTCTGAATAATATCTACCATTCTAAATGAATAACAGGATCACTTCAATGTCACGAGAACATTCCCCACACCATTACACCACCTTACATTGTTTGAACTCACAACATTACTGGAGACATTTTTTCCCATTTCTGTTTAGGATAAGTTGGATTTGAACTGGTTTTTCGACTGTAAAGTGTACTATTCTTCGCTTGGCATTATCAAAGGTGGTTGAATCCCGATTACTCTTGATCGAATCAGTCGAAATGGGTCGCAACCTGTCATCAGCTATAATTGTTGTTCACTCCGTCACTCATTGTAGTTAACTTCAGTTTTCCCTGTCGACTATCCATCTCGATAGATTACTGATAGATCACTCTAAACAGCCAGCTATAGAAAATGTCTTTAGAACAGCGCCTATCATGCCACTCTTGAGTCTCACATACCCTTACTATTGCCATTTGTCTTGTATACCAATTGCAGTATAACATGTACCTGCATTATAAGGCTCAGGCAGTCAACTGGCATGCCACGTGATAAGTTGTTTTTGTATAAATGGAAATATTTGAGGTGCGTATTTCCTCTCATCACGGATTCCCCAATAAAAATGACTAGTCGGTATAGTTAATGAATGTTACTTTGTATTAATCTAAGTAGTAAGTAGGTAGGCTACTTGAGAAAATTACATCATTAACTTTCATACTTTACACTTTCTACCTATCCCTACGTTCTCTTCTGCAAAGGGAAAGTCTACCCTTCCAAAGTGCTCGAGTTATCATGAGTTTTTATTGCAATTAATGAATATGCGATCAGTACAGAAAATATGTTTTCTTAATATTATTTGGAGCAAGTAAAGTTTGACAATTTTTGTCATATTATGTTGGTTTATCTTATTGCATATGCCCCCAGTGACACAGCGGTATATCTGCATACTTATAACGCTAGAATTCGGGTTTCGATACCCGTGGTGGGCAGAGCACAGATAGCCCATTGTGTAGCTTTGTGCTTAATTACAAACAAACAAACTTATTGCATACACCAGGTCTCTTGGTGAATCTTTAATAAATAAGCTAATGAATGAACTAAATCAAGTAGTTTATTGCACTGCACATAAAAACAAGTATTGTTAATTAATCATGAAAGCTTTTCTTTTGTGTTATTTTACGCTGTAAAATATTTTCAGCTAAAGCAGTTACAGCAATGTGGATACAGCCTACTTTCAATCGACCAGTATGGAATGACAGCCTTGCATCATGCTGCACGCTATGGACACAAAGATATTGTTCGACATCTTATTGCTAACGGTCAGTAATAATTTTTCTGTATACAAATCATAAGAATGAGACTTAGTTTAAGAAGCGCCACCTGATATAGCATCACGTGTTTGGTGACGTGTTTTCTATATCTGTACAGTTAATAACTGGTGAGTGAAACATTTTCCAAAAATTCCGCTGAGTTCAATATTTAATTACATATTTGTTCAAACTTATATATTATACAAGAATATAACTTAACATATAATTTAAAGTGATTAATCATACAGTGTTTCTGAAAGCGTAAACCTTACTTTTATATTTTTGTTATTCTTCTATTGGTATCTTTATTATTTGTTTGCTAAAGAAGAAATAATGCCAGACTTCCTACTTACTTTCTTGTTGTTTTTGGGTTTACTTTAATTTCTACAGATATGTTTTATAAATCATTGCATTCAAAGCCGTGTGGATTAGCTAACTAAACGTGGAATTAAATGGGAAACAGTGAAACTGGAAAATAAAGCAGATTAAGGGTTACAGCTTTGTAGTATAGCTCCAATACTTTCGAATAGTGTATGGAATTAGGATTACTTCTTCACACGTGGAAAATATCTCTCTTTCAACTTTCGATTTTGTTAGCGAAGATTGTATTGGATTTATGAAGGAAACATTCATTGATTTTTTTCCTAGTCTAAAATTATCGGTAGTACGCGTTATCAAAATGTTCAAGTGAACGTGGAGGTTGCAGGTAAGGTTACAGTTCGTTTGACATCCTGAACTTAAGCTTTGATTGGTTTTGAAGAACAGAACAGTACTCTTGTTGTTTTCTAGTCGTAAAAAGGTCTATTGTAGGTTATTTATTTATTTTACCAATGCTATTTCAATGTGTTATAAACAAATCGGTAATTTATATTGTTATATGTACGCTTTTTAGCCCACGTTTTGAAACCCCTGAATGTTTGTTGGACAATTTGACTAACAAAAACATTGTTGCAGATAATTTAAAGATCAAATGTCGAGTAACGAGTTTGTTAATTAGTCTTTTTCTTTTAACATTTTATTAATATTTCTATAGATTGCTAATTATATTTTTTGTCTACATTTAGCTATTTAGGAGTACGTAACTTGTGAAGTTGTGTGATTTTTAATAACTCTCCTTAAAAGATGTTTCTGTACTTATAGCTTCTCCGGCCATGTTGGACATGGTAGATAATGAAAAGTGAGTATTCGTTTCACTTCAGTTAAACTATGATTAATTATTCAGCTTAGTTTTTGTGTAATTAGATAAAAATAATTTACACCGTGTGACGCTTATAGAAACAGCAAAAAATATACCATTGCACCGCCTTGCATCAAAGCGACAGTGTATAATTGAATAGCGTAGAATAAATGTGCAAATATTCATTTGAAGTTATCAGCATCCTCATAATAATATTTTATCAACTTTCCAGTCTAAAGAGTTTCATCCTTCTCCAGTTTTCGGCGTTATAAGTTCTAATAATAGTGAATGAAATCAAAGAGGCCAATATTCGCGGGTGAATACAACATGTTTCCGCCACTCAACAGGGCCAAATCCCATGTAAATTGGCCGAAATACGGCGGAGTAATTGTCAAAACAGCCTAAACCACCACAATTGTCATAACCACCTAAAAGTATGTTTTTTTGTGGCATCTTGACTCTCCTATAATTATTCAAAATGGGAAAGTCCGCCATTTTTTATTTTTTTTTGTAAATCTGTGGGATCTTTAGAAAACTATCTTTGTACCAAATGTCATGTAAATTGGTCAAATTACAGCTGAGTAATTAACCCAAAACCCCAAATTATGTTTTTTTTGTGAGCTCTGACCCCCTAAAAAGACTACAAATTGGCAAATCCAACATTTTTTGTATGTAAATGTGTTGGGCGCATAACAAAAATTATATTTGTGCTAATTTTTATCTTGATTGCTGTAAGTATGACAGCATAGAAACCAAAAATATACATTTTTTGGTTCTTTGATCCCATAAAATCCTTAAAAAAGAAGACCTAAATTAAAAAACGTGCTAGGACGTATTTGGCTAAGATAAAACTTGACCAAGTTTCAAGGTAATCCTCCGAGAAATGAAGGAATGTCATTCGATTGAAAGGTGTTTGGAAGAAGAAGAAAAGACATAAATATCGGAGTGTTCGAAAGGCTATAATCTAGTACACTAGGTGTTTGTTGCTGTTAAGTTGTTGGAAATTTGTATTAATAGTACTAAGTTGACAACTAAAGCATAGAATTATAAGAAGTTTTATTGTAATGACTTATTACATTTTCTTTGATTTAGAAGCTTTCTTATTTTGTTTGTTTTAAAGGTCTCCAGACAAAGTCATGCTGTGTTAGAAGCGTTTCTCGGTTCTTTAGTTTAAAAGTATAAGTTGTATATTTCAATTTAGAATGAAAGCATTTAAAAATATATATATATACTAACTAATGACAACTTTAATTCATAGACATGCGTCATTTATTTTATATTTTGTTTCCCTAATATTTTCAAGAGGTCAAACGGCTCTTCACAAAGCAGCAGCTTACAAACGTCGCACAGTATGCTATCTATTAGTATCAGCAGGAGCTTCTCTAACAAAAGTTGACAAACAGGTATGAAAGTTGACTTGGCATAGAAAAACATTTTTGTATGGATTTTTAATAAATAAATAAATTGGCAACAACGCTCAAATAAGCCCTTAGGACTGTTAAAGAAAATTATTTTGTTTGTCATATTCCTTTCAAAATATTTAACACAGAGACATCTTCAGTCATACGCCTAAAGGAGATTTAAATAGAGGACACGTTAAATTTTGTTTTTGTGTTACTTTTCAAAGGTTAAGGGATACGTTAAAGATAAGCAAATTAATAGCAAAATATATTCACGTGAAAGATTTACCATTTTATTAGTGTAATGTTATCCGTTAAAAGTGTAAGAAACTTTTGTTTAACTTTTTAAAATTAGTTTACGTCATAGGGCTATACACAACGTATAGAGATATGAAAATATCAACATGTTTTCAGTCTTAGAATTTTGTTTACCTAATAATTCATTTCCTCAACTCGTGTGTGTTCTGGTAGAATCCTAAGTGTCGTGAGAATATTCAAATAGCCTTGTTAATCTAATCTATATTACCCATAGGAAGTTTTGGTGTAAGCCTTGCTAATATATACAACCTCTATAAATGTTTTGCTAGTAAGCCTTGCTAATCTCTACAACTCATAGAAACGTTTTGATGTAAGCCTTGCTAATCTATACAACCGCTAGAAACGTTTTGGTGTTAGCCTTACTAATCCATACAACTCTTATAACAGTTTTGGTGTAAGCCTTGCTAATCTCTACAACCGCTACAAACGCTTTAGTGTTAGCCTTACTAATCCACACAAGTCTTATAAGAGTTTTGGTGTAAGCCTTGCTAATCTCTACAACCGCTAGAAAAGTTTTGGTGTAAGCCTTGCTAAACCATACAACCCTTAGAAAGGTTTTCTATTAAGAGCTGTGTAATGTAACTTTGGTTTTCTTTGTAAGGGGATGACGCCGAAACAGTTAGCCATGAAGGCTGGAGACGATGCACTTGCGTCATACCTAGAAAGTAAGTATCTATAGAATAGTTTTAAAATTAATGAAAAATAAGTGATTGAAAATAATACCAACATAAAACGAATAGAAAAGTAACAAGACCATTTTTTGTTCTTTATTGTTGTTCTTGTTTTAATTCCTATCATTATGTTTAATACTCAATTTATCAGCTTAATTCTGCTCGCAGGGAAGAATGTAAAATATAAAGTTTCAAACCAAAGTGAGAAAAACAGCTGAAGGAAAATAAGTGCTCTATCATTGTCCTTATGGTGGGATAGCGGTAAGTTGAAGGACTTACGACGCTAAAATCCGGGGTTCGATTCTTTTCTGTGGATACAGCAGATAGCCTAATGTGGCTTTGGTCTAAAAAAACAAGCAAATAAATATTTTATATGAGCTAAAAACGCACGTATGTTTTGAGCCATGCCTTCAGATAGAATATCGTACTGACGATTTTTTATTTTTTGTTTTTAAGCACGAAGCTACACGAAGGGCTATTTGTGTTATGACCTCCATAGCTATCGAAATCCGATTTTTAGCGTTATAAGCCATCAGACATACCACTGTGCCATTTGGCCGAGAGGGGGTTCCGTACTAACGAGATTTATTTTTATTTTTTACCTAGGAGTTTTCTAAAGATATAATTTTTGCCATATTTAACTTAATATTTAAGAAGACTAAAAAGAAATACTTTGTTAATGTTAACACCCTCCCCCTGATAAATCTTAAAATTCATAACACTAAAACTCGTGTTTCGACACCTGCAGAGGGCATAGCAGAGGTAGCCCAGTGTATAGCTTTGACATTAATACGAAACGCACATTATTAACAGAATTACTTACCAACAGAGCAATTTATCTTCATGTATTTTCAATACACTTGTTAATAGTTTTTATGAAACTTAATGATAAGTTTAAGTTATGAACTATTAACAACACTTAAGGAGAAAAAAATATAAATTCATTGCATAATGTAGCTCGTATAAATTTTTCATCGTCACTATATTGGATTGTTTTAATTGTATTTGAGATGTTTTATAGACTCCGTGGTATGTAGTAATTAGTTTTTACGTTTATCCATTCTTTGTTGACATAAACTGTTTTGTAGTACGTGAAACATTCCAAAATTAACAGCCTGATTAGATAATTCTTAAATTTCGAAACAATAAACATTTTCTATTTGTATAACCAACTTAAATTAACGCAATATCTTTATTCTTTTTTTTTCTGACAGATCAGCAACATTTCCAGATGCTAATACGGGACAAAGAAACCGCAGTATGACAGACACGTGCACTAGTGTGGATTCTCCAAACACCAAAGATTTCTGTCGTTTACGTCAGACAATTGAACAAATGTGCGGATAATTAAATTAAAAATGAATACGTCGTGTTTTTAAACGCGTTTTTAACCTCTAGATACAAGTGATATTTTGTTATAACCATCCCAACAGATGAACCTCCTTTTCTATAAATCCGAGTCTTGTTAAGAGTGCAGTATCCCTTAAGTAAGTCAGCAATAGAGCATATAGCTTATCCTAGGGTTGCACTAAATATTTGTATCTATTATGAATACTTTGAATGTACAAGAGTACTTCATACACTCGGGAGGAAAAATTAAGGGTATACACTCCCCTTTCCTCCATAAAGTATAAATGTGTTATTATCTCATGCCTCACAGCGTTATTTCCAGCGGCTTTTAATAGGAAAAATTACAAATTTAAAAAAAGTGTTTTGATTAGAGATATCAGTTTTATTTAAGACTAGTCAAAAACAGAGTAAAGGACTTATAGGTCAATTTTCTAGTGTGTCACTGTTAGATAAGTATTTCTTTAAATCAAATTTTTTCTGTTTCCTTGAGGTGTTGAAACACTACAACTTTTGATAAAGGTTATTCTTTATGTTAAGTTATTTCATCTTCGCTTTTATGACTTTTTTCATTTCATTACCAAACTGTGTAAACAGATATGTTCTTGAAATAACTTATGACAAAGATGATATTATTTAAACCATTTTCAATGAAAGATTTTTTTGGCAAATATGTAAAGCTAGAGTATTTATTTCTAATTGTACAAATGTAAACGTATTGTAGTTAATATATTACATTTCACATTCATTTATAAATTTGTGAATTAGCTAATTAAAAATAGAATATCAACATAATGAAGAGTTCTTCATTCAAAAGTAGTTTCTTTGAAACATTTATAGAAGTGACGAACCTCACTAGTATCGTTTTTGTTATTCTTTCACATTTCTATTTCATGGACATTCCTGAGATATCTAGTCGTACCCTTGCCTCAATTGCAAGGTCTTTGTGAAGGAATTCTGGATCACTTTCTTTCTGAGAATATCATTTCACATATTAGTTTCATAATCATTTTTACCATCATTATTAATACGGCACGTGTATTACAGTGAATATGTATATTTCGTAGAAAACATCTATTTTCAGCCATATTTTGTATTTAGTATCCACTGGGAAGAAAGTAACGTTGACAATTATCTTGTCAACAATGAATCCTAACAAAAAATGGTTAAAATTTGTAGGAGAAATAAAATTTTCAACAACGCTTCGCCTAGATAAGTGGATCTCAACAGAAAGATTTTAACAAGTCCACAAGACTGTTGAAAAAGAAATGCGTGTATTAAAATATAGCTAATGAAGTGTATGGGTTTACAGTGTAACATAAAAATGATTTAAGACGTTAATATTGTACGAAGCGTTTCATGAAATTTTGGGATGGAACTAGCTGGTCTTCAGTGGGAGGAAGCTCGGAACCACTGATCTAAATGATCTTTATGGAGTCTTGAAGGTTGTTTAACCAAAAAGTTGACATTTTCTCCCAATTACAGTGTGTTTTTACCATTTTTATAATTTCATCACGTTATAGGTACACCTTATTATATTTACAAATAGGAAATCAAAAGTATCACTTCTTGTGATTTCCACGTTTTGAAGGCGTGGATGAACTAGGCATGTCTGAGAAATAGCTAATATTTAATCATAATGAACCTGTATAGTGAGGCTTACATAAATATTTTTGCACATGCATAAAAAACAACAACAACACATTCCATTACATTAGCCGTTAGTGTGATTTTGTTGTGTTAAGAGGTTGAGCTTCTCTAGTCCAGTGTTATCCTGCATCATTCTCTAGTACTCGTATCTTGTAAATATTCAATAAAGTAAACCTAAGAGATCCTTACGGTTTTTGTTCTTAAGTAAGCTGTAAACCGAGATATTCCTGTTACTGTTTGCTGTTTACCATCACGTAAAGTAGATTTAAAAAGGTGTGAAACACGTTGATAGTTAATTAAAGTAAACCTAAGATATCCTTGCAGTTTTTGTTCTTAAGTAAGCTGTAAACCGAGATATTCCTGTTACTGTTTGCTGTTTACCATCACGTAAAGCAGGCTAAAAAAAAGAGTGAAACACATTGATGATTAATTATTTTACTTCGTCGAAAAGGCCAAAGTATTTTTAATGTGTTCTACTTCATAAACTATTTTCAATTATAAGATCGAATACCACACAGGATTTGCAGACTCCACTCTTTCCATGTTTTGGTAAAACTGTGTAAGTAACACATACTAGACAAATCAATATCTATTCTTATTATATGTGTATATTAATTCTACTCTACTCTATCAATTATACTATAAATATTACTATAAATATCACCCTCGTTCTCTAATAAGTATATTGATTGATTTAGAATTGAAATAAATTGTCTGAGTGGTGTTGATAAAGTATTATCAACTTTTAACACAGAAGGAATATAAGGAAATACACAACAAAATATTTATAAAACTCTCTTACACTATAATGATTTTGACATATTTAGCAGTTTTACTGACGTTGGAAATGCCAAATGGTATTGAGATGTTATGAAGTTAGAATATTAGTCTGGTTTCTGAGAGCGAACGTTTTAAAACAATGGTGTGGGGCAGGAAGTTTACGGAAAATGTAACTTTGACAAAATATATCACTGAAGAAGAATTTTTTTTTTCGCAAATCAAAATAATGTTAATGAGGCAAATAATTTTAATGCGATTCTTTCTTTTGTTTTGTTTTATTTTGGTGATTAAAGAACAATTTCAACGTCACTCTCACACACTTTTAAACTACAGAGTTTAATGAAAATTCACAACAATGAGTAAACTTACGAGGCTCATTAAAAACTTTTTCCCAAAACTATGCGAAAGTAGCAATAGCTTACTGAAAGTTTAATGTTTTCCTCATCACTAAAATTGCGATAAATAAGAAGCCCGGTCGATTATTACATTTGCCACATGTAGCATATCGCTCCTTTTTTGTAAAATGTTACTCTCTGACATGTAGCAATTCTACGAATAGAATTGGTCTCTTGTAATTTTGGTAATAAGAAACACGTGCGTTTTTTTCAGTCTGTTTGTCGGTTGGATAGCATATAGAATTATATTTATAACTTAAACATTACTTATTTTTCAAATACTTGTACAAGTTTAAGTTAGATGCGCTAAGTGAAATGGCAGTTTAAACACACACATTGCTGAAGATTGCTAATGAATGAAATGTTATTTGCGAAATATTATAAGGAATAGTTTAATGGTAATGCTAAGAAAACCATGATACGATCATTAGTGGCATATTCTGATGTTTTATTGTTATTTCTAGTCTGTATAGAATTTGATATTATAATTCACATGCAAGAATATATAAAATTGAGAACTACTAAATAACTAGTTTGCTAAGGTTGTATTACAAAGTCTATAGATGATGTAAGTATAATACATTATTTGATGAGAAAATAGATAATATTTATAGTCAATAAGTAGTACTTCAATGGTGAACAGTCATGTATCTAAACTCGTTTCGGGATTTGCGCGTAAAACGTGGGTAACCGCTATATCTTAGAGGAGGAGGCAAATTATGTTTAGCATATTACCCATAGACATTGAAAAGCGACTGTGTACTTTGATTGTTGACCTTTGAACTTGAAATATTTTAATTTATAAGTATGTGTATATCCTAACTCTTAAGAGATCAAATGGTATCGTATAGCTTCTTTGTTTAAATGTTTTTATTAAACTTAAAAAACATTCTAAACACTGTGTGTTCAGATTAACAAACTTCTCTATAATATGTAACTGTCTGAAATAACTGAAATTATGTTAATTTTTATCCGTTGAAAATTGTTATTCGTTCTTTGTATTAGACTGTATTATTAAATCGCTCACAATAAATGTCAACAAAGCATTAAATTTAAATGCCCAAGAGTTACATATATTTCCAATAAATGTCAACAAAGCATTAAATTTAAATGCCCAAGAGTTACATATATTCCCAAAATACTTGAACTCGGATCTTACAAGTTGATTGACAAATCCTTCAAAGAACAGTGATTATTTGTGTTTTAGTAAAGTGCACCTTTTATCATGAATATGTGAAATGCAAGTGCCTTTTTTCCTGTTCTTTATTCTCAGACTAGTGATAACAAAGCTCATGAAATATGGATAAGCTAACCATTTCCAATGACACTTAAGAAGTTATTTCTAATCGATTTAGTTTTGATCAGTTTGCTTTATTGTTCGGAATTAGGAGAAATAGTGAAATTAGTAAATGGAAACTTTGGAGTTATTTTTCAATATACTTTAGCTCAAACTATATATAATAGCCGACTATCATTTTGTACCAGTATGAAGTAAGACAGCTCTACGTATCACTTCAAAGTAACTGAAAAAAAAACCCAGAAGAGACGACCGTAGGCTTGAGCTTTTTCTGAACAATAAATTCTTTCTAACAAAGCTGTTGGGCCTTTTTTAAGACCTTTATCATAGCTGACAATGTATTTACAGTAGTTTACTTGAGGGCCTGATATGTATAACGTCGTCTAGACTTTAATATATATTCATCTATTCTTTAGTCTGTTAGGCTGGAAAGCTCCAGTGAACAAAACGTATATAACTAACAATATAATACATTTAGGAGTTTCGTCACATAGTAATTGTACATAAAATGTAGGTTTGTAGTCTTATCTTGCTGAAAGACTGCTCGGTCATAGAATACTGCTGGAAGTATGAAACGTATACTAAGGAAAGAGATGTATTTCCTAATTTTCCTTGCACATAAATACATCCACCAATTATGTATCATTATAAAGAAGAATCACCACAAAAATAAGATACCCGTTCTTGTACATTATAACTTATTTTTAAAAGGGAAGTAACGTTGGAAAATCAAAATGTGTGTGTTTGGCTTTATGATATAAATGAGATGCTAGTAAAATGCGAATTTCAGATAGTAAGTGGCGTACTGACAAAATATAATAGAAAATTCTCGAAAAATATTTTAAAAGAATGAACTGGGTTGAACTAACATAGCTTTACATACTTCTAAAAGGGATTATATTTAGGCTTGACATTCGCTCATAAATAGCAATGGTATGATTTTCTGAACAATTTTCTATTAGTTAATTAAGTTATGTGAGAAGTAGGAGTTAATAGATATATATGTAAATAAGGGAAATCATTTTAAAATCACATTCCATTTCCCTTCGAGCATTAGAAACATTTGTTTATCTTTCTGCATACACAGTAGAGAGTCAGTAGGATGGAATTAGCTATCTATACTTGTATAATGATTAATGCTAAAAACTTACATTAATAAATATATATATATAAATGGTATTCCCTCTTAGTTTCTTTATAATGTGTTGAAACTGATTTGTAGATAGGTTTCATTTAAAACTTTAACTGTTATATTGTTGTTCATCTTGTCTTTTACCAAGAAATAAAACATGGGGCTGAAAGTAAATTAATCCATGTGGTTTAAATGGTTCATAATACATGGTTGAAAGAGATCTAATTACGAGGTTGTAAGTAAATTGGCCAAATGGTTGAAAGTAAGCTACTGATATGGTGAAAAGTAGATCGAACGTAGTTAAAAGTAAATTGAACATATGTTTTAATACACAGAAAAGACGTATAAGCAATACAGGTTATATTAAGCAAATAGGTATTTCTCTTTTATTATCTTCTAAGAAATACTTGCATATTCTACGATAAATCCAAATCAAATTTCAGCCCATTTTTAAGACAATCAAAAGAGTTTTCTCTTTATCCTTTAAACTTATTTCAGCTTTTTTTTTACAGTATTTAAGAACAGTGATCATTTCTTGTTGAGTAACTTGTAGATAAGTTGACATCATTACAATTGTAGAGGACGTTTTTGTGTTATTCATGCCCTAGGTAGGGTTATGCATTGTAAAGTATTGTAGAATAATAATACAAGTACATTTGAATAAATTGTTATTTTTATTCGACAAAAATATTGTGTTTTCGATTTTTATATATACACGGATATTTGTTTAATAACATGGTTATTATATTGGTTTAAGTGTTAGAGGATAGTTTGAATTCATTGTGTCGTCTTTTTTTTAAAACTGTCTATGATGAATAATGGCTGGAGACGGCTTAAATGGGTAATGAAGAAAAACTTTAATATAAGTTTAACATGACAGCAAATGTACAACGTTTCGACAAGGTTTTGTCATCATGATGACAAAACCTTGTCGAAACGTTGTACATTTGCT